GAAAGAAGGCAAAGAGAGAAACTTCTGTGACTGCACCATAGAAAGATTTGGAGAGAAATCTAGTGTAGAATTTTTCCTTCCAAACAGAATGCATTGTATCATTGGATTTCAACCTTCTGAGCTGTTATACATGCTCAATAATATAGAATGTAAATAGACATTTATTGATGAATATGAATAGGTGCAGATAAAGGCTTTGAATTTTACATGAAATAAATAAAATAACAGTAACAATAGAAAACATATATACAAGTGTTTTAAATGTACTTAGTCACTTTTTAAATCTTCAAAACCTCAGTGAAAGTTCTATGAATATCCCCATTGTTTCATTGGGGAAAATGTGGTACAGTGAGATGAATTAATTTGCTCCATATTTCACAGCTTGGAAATTCTGGGACCAAGACCCAGTTTGGGCAGATGTTTCTCTTAACACCTGGACATAACAGTCTCCATCACTGGTACAAGAGTAGCTTCACACAATCTCAGCTGACGTGCAAGATATGCATCTATAACCTATTGAAACCTGATATAACAATTCCAGGAGTGACATCTTTCTCAAGTATGGAAAAAAAAAATCCTCCACAAGAAGAGTTAAGAGCTAATCAAGGGAAAATCCAAGTCACATATCTAGCAAAACCCATGATTTCAAATACTCTTAGAAGCTGCCTCACAGTTTGCCTACATTAGCGTTTCTGTAAGATGTGAAGTTTTTTACTAGAGGAAAGCATCACATTCCAGTCTTGCAATAACCTAACAGGCCTCAAGAAAAGAAGTTTCAAGCTAGGTCTGTGGTTTAGCCAACTATATATTGCCAACTCAAAGATTTTACAAGTGAATATTCTAGCATAGAAATTAGCTAGACATTCATTTTCCTTTCTATCGTTTTATGCTTCTTTTGAGTAATGTATTTCATATTGCAATTTTAATCAAAAAGAAAACTTAAGTTTGTGATGAATATTTTCAACTGGTAGTAGCCTTCCTGCCATCAGCGACCAATGTTCATCCTCCATAGTCTGTACAGATGTCTGGGTTACTAGAACAAGAACAAAAACTGCTTTCTATGAGTAGTATATCTGATATGCCCAGACAATTAAAATCAGGATGAAGAGGCAGGCCAAGGGTTTAAATAACATGCAAAAGTTTATCCATTATCAAAGATACTATGATGTTAAGTATTGAATTATATAACTATCTTTTATAGTCAGTAGAATTTAAAATTTGTACTCCACAGTAATTAAAGTCGCTGATAAATATTGATTTTGCATTAAAATAGTTTAAAAGTGGCAATTTATATTTAGAAATTCCTAAGATATGCAAAATGTCTTTTTCAGAATGTACCCACTGAGACTGTACTAATCACAGTGCCCCATTTATTCCCCATTCCACCAATGCTTCCTTAGAACAAATCCCCTCAATTCCAGTCTCACTCAGGAAGCCCTACAGGTTGCATGATTTCTGCTGGACTTCAATCTAATTCTCAGTAGGATAAGCAACTGGTTTTTGAATTCACTACTAATGAATGTGAAAAATGCACAAAAGTAGATATTTTTTCTTTGCAGGGAAATAAGACAACCTGGAGAGTTCTGTTTGATTATAGTGCAGGCATCTTTAAACAGATTTTTTTTCCCATGAGATTTGACAAATTTCCCGACAATTTTTTTTCAAAAGTAATTTTTTTTTAACTCCTAAACCAATTCAAAGCAGTAGGATACTTTAAGTTAGGTTTGTTTGATTTATGTGATGGCTTTAGCCTGGTCAAATAAAGAGAGATTTAACTTTGATTTCTTCTCCCTATTGAGCCTTGATAATACAGCAATTCTATATTCTTCTACAACCTTATTTTTTGCTAGGTTGTTGATAATCCTGACACTTTTGGACATCCATTGAAGGTAGATAAATGTGAGTGATTGCTTGTAAGAATATTAAATCTGTTTCAATCACTCAGAAAAATTTTGAGATAAATGGACAGTAGCTATCTCTTCACACACAGAAGGCAAAAAGTTACTGCCATTATTATTTCATGTTCATTCATATATAACCTCCCTAGATGATTTCACATACACCCACAGTTTTAATTATTATTTCTATTCAGAAGGCTTACAAATTATATCTCCAGCCTGGATTTACCTCTAGGATCTAGATTTGTATACTCCAGACTTCCTAAATATCTTCTTGATGTTCCAAAGGTGCATCAAATTCAACATGCCTGAAATCCAAACCATGCTCCTCCTCTGCCGTGCTTACTGCCTTCCATTGCTTCTAGCGTCCACTAACAGTGCCACCATATATCTGTACAAGTCAGAAAGTCAGTGTTGACCCTCCTTTCCCTTACTCCCTGTATCCTATCCAACTCCAAATTCCTTGGATGTTGCCTCTTAAATATCTCTTGAATTTATTCCATTCTCCTTTCAGCCACTATTTTCACACTAAAGCAAACTATACTCTCAGATACTGCAATGCAAGAACTATGCAACTAACGTACCTACTTCCATCTGCTCTCTCCCTTACAGAAACTTTTCTTAAGAATCTTACATAGCTTTCAACTTCCATAAGAGTAGAGTTCTTCAACAGAACCCCAATCCCTGCCTGCCTGGTCTCATCTGACATTCTTCCCCCCATCCCTGTACCTGTTCTCCTTCACCAACACAACTCCAGCACTCTTGCCAA